TTGCAATAACATTTTACTTTAGACTATAGTCAATCCCCATTACCCAGGTTCGAATGCCACAAATCTAAGACAAATCATTAATCAATGATTGTAGAGAAGAATTTAATAAGATTTTGGAAAGAAGAATGAGTCTTAAAACTATGAAGTTCATTTTTAATATATTGTTAGTCTTCATGTAGGCAACCTTTTGAGCGTGTATCCAAAATAGTTTTTATGAGCATCTGAAGTCAAAATCTAGACAAAATTCATCAAAATCACAAAAATGTTCAAATGATTTCGAGTTAAATATTCATAAAAAAATGTTCTATGTACATCTAAGATTTCAATTTAGTATGTATAAAATGTTTACTGACTGACTGGAAGGATTGAAAAAAAATTTTATTTGAAACAATAGTCGACTCATTTGTTTCTTTCTTTTACAATTTATTACTTTAATTATTTATCATTATCAATATTTGTCAAAATGCATACAATTTTTTTTTCTGCGCGGAGCGCTAATTGTATTGATTTTACCCAATGGTGTGAGTGTATGTTATTTCTTGTTTCTTTTATAACCGCTTGATACAGTAAAACTGCTTCAATTTTCTTCAACACCATCTTTCCTAGTAGGAATGCGAATCTTGTGTGTAATTTATGAGGTCAAAAGTAAAAACTTCCCTATAGTATTTAAAAAACAGTCAGGAAAAACACAAACAATTAAGGAAAAACTGGAAAATGTCGATTTTATTATTTTTCCTTCTCTAAAAAAATGAACTTACAAACATTTTCCTCAAATGTTAATATTGCAAGTTTCTATTCACCATAACATTTTGATTCATTTTGAGCCATTTATTGTTTTATTCATTTTTTTAAAAAATTATTGTGAATAAAAAAATTTGAAAATGTAATAAAAAGTTTCTCATAAGGGTGGTGACCATTCGGCTCCTGTTTCTCTAAACGTCAAAAAGGTCTAACGAACAGGTAAATTCCCAAACATCTCCGAGTTTTTACAACACAAAGTCCTTCCCTCTTTATACAGACTCAGGACTGTCTCAAATGAGGTGTGTTTAAAAATGTCTGTGTGTATACTAAGTAAATTATTAAAATTATATAAAAAAAGCTTATACCTAGTACAATATTTAATTTTTAATGTTTAATATTAAAAAAATATTTAAAAATGTAAAAAGTATTATTATAAATAAAAAAAAAAAAAATCATATATTTGATAAATTTGTTAGGCACAATTTTTTATATAGCCCATATTTATTTGATGAAAACTCGTAAATTACTTTTTCGGCGAGCTTTTGTTTTTTTTTCGATCTCGGTGTAGTAGATTGTCTTCGAGCTTTAATATGCATTTCAGATTGTATATTGGTTAGTATATCAATAACCTTAAAATATTTGGATGAGTAGTATTGAATTCTTTGTTGAATTTACTGTTTAACGCTTCACATCCATTTGAGGTCAAAGAAAGAGAAGACGAACGCTCAGCCCACATTTCAGGAGGGAAAACACTATCTGACATTATATAATTTTAAAAAATATAGACGAAAGATTTATCTACTTTATCATCTTTTGTAGTTGTTAGTGGAAAGTAAAAAATAAGATTAAGCGTTGTTTGCGAGCAAAGTGAGTAGCTTCGTGTGGTGATAGGTATTAATACGTATTTTCTGCAGTTTTTTTAATAATGCACTCGAGGGTTGGAATTTTTAAAACCTATTTTTCTGAACTCGGCGCCTTTTCATAACAGGCATTATAATTTACGAAAGAAAAATATTTCCCTAATAACTATATATTTTCTACTTTATTAACACAAGTGTAACTAACACTAATCGCTTTAATAAAATACCGAATAATCATATTATATTAAACAGACATTGTGCGATGCAATAAAATATAGTACATCTTATACCCACATATTGTACACTTCATTAATAGATATAGGTCACAGGTGTAACAAACACTTTGTTTTATGAGAACTTAATCTTTGTGCTCCGATCGAAATCAATTTTTCCAATAATATAATATTATCACAGTGCCATGTTATTGTTTTGATATTATATTGACGCGTGATGACATTTTATAAAAGGTATCAACATAATATATGGGTAATCTGGGGCCATTGAGCATAAAATATAAATTATATTTTCACAAATATTGTTGGAAATTAAAAAAATATTGTATCATAATATTATTAAATACATTTTTTTAATAAACAGCACATTGAACAGACAGTTTTCGGCCCCCCCCCCCTTTCAAAAGAGTCTAGTACCGCTTATGACTCTAGTACAATCAATATTGACATATTGAATTATAATACAGGGTGCGGCATAATAGACTCCCACATTTCCGAAGTGAATTTAAAAAAAACGATACAAAATAAAGAAAAAAAATTTTTATTTTTAAAAACTATATTAGGTATATAAGGTTTTTTTTAAATTAGTTTTTAAAAATTATATCGTCTAAATGATTGCCTTGACGAGCAACGCACATATGGAGCCGTTCTCGAAAGTTTTCCATCACTTTCGCCAGCATATCGAGTGGAATCGCGGACTTGGGACGTCCAACCGCGCGCTAAGACCGCGGTCTTTTAGGCATTACAGATCCCGTTGTTCTTAAATTTTGTACCCAATTCAAAATCGTTTTCCGATCAGGGACACTTTCGTTTGGATTCAAACTGAACCGAGTTCGAAATGCTCTCTGTGTCGCAATCACACATTCAGCGTTTTTTAAAAATGCCTCAATAACGAAACCACGTTGTTCACCAGACCATGGCATGGTGACGACTAAAACCCTTATTAATAATCTAATCTAGCGAAATAAACCACTTTAATCTAATCAGTTTAATTACGCGCTAATGATTATTTGAAATATGGGAGTTCATTACGCCGCACCCTGTATTTGGATCTGCGTACAGAAATGCTCTTCTACCATTAAATGTAGTGCATAGAACCCTAGTTGAAATAATATTAAGATAAAATTATACTGAGGGTAATTGTACCAATAATGGTCTGTTTAAAAAAACTTAGGATAATTAAAATAGAACAATTACATAGTAAATTATCAACAACTAAAAAATATATTTGATGCAAAATAAAATTATATTACATAATACAAATAGCTGTATTATCACTTAAAATATGAATAACAATAATCTATAATATTATTTAAGCCCAACACAACTATGAATAAAAATATAAAATGTTTTATATATATAGGGAAATATAACTCATTATTGAACTACCATAATATGAACCACCAATTTGAGATACGACGAAAGTCCATAAAAGTTAATTCTGTGAAAACAAGAAAAAATTGTTTTTATGCTACCAGTGATACATGGTTATTTCTCTTTCATACTGATTATTTACAGTAGTAAAATTAAATATTTTTCTTTTCAAATGTTCACACATGATCCGTCTATCATTTGATAACACACTCCACTTAATATCTCAATTTGTGATATTTTGTGACTTACGTCGTTTCTCAAATAGGTGATTCATATAATATCAAAATAATAAATACTTACAGACGATTTAAGCTGGAAATTAAAAAATGATATTCACAATTATTTCTTTAGTAGTTCTATTATATTCCTTTTTATATGTTTTTTATAGTTTATTTTTTAGTCTCACTAATATGCATTTTCTAATTTAAATTATATTCTTCTATTATTGTAATGTCTATAATTGTTTTATAAAAAAATTATGAATCATTATCATTATCATTATCATGTTAATTAGTTAGGTACAACTTATAAATTATTTAAGACTCTCTAATCCCACCACAAGCATTCCTTGCAGGGATTAGGTATCAACATTGCTCTATTATTAATCATGTTGTATAAATGTAATATTATATAAATGTTTTTAAAAAAAAATACAAACAAAATATATACATTATTATTATTACGGTCCTTGTCACGAAAAGTTTCTCCTGGAAGTCTGGAACCCAGCGGCCATTTCGAATCAGTTCGAATCATAATGTACGATTCGTTAAAACGTACTGCACTCTGCTGCAATAACCGGTTTCATTTGAGAACCCATAACTAACAATCCTGCATCTTTAAGAAATATATTGTAAAGATACAATCACTAAATCAGCCTCGGACACAGAAAAACGGATTAGGGACTGGACACTGAAAACGGACAATGGAGTTTAAGATAGGAAGTCAGAATGTAATGAGTCTTTTTAGGACTGGAGAATGCCAAAGCTTAGTAGAGATAGTGGATATAAATAAAATAAATTCATGTTTTCACATGAGAAAATCTATAAAGGAACATAGAATTCCCCAGATGAAGTAACAGTTAACCAGAAAGATCACCTTATCGTCCAAAAAAGATTCCACTCGTGCATTCGAGAGATACGTAGTTATAAGAGGATCAAACTGTGACACAGATCACTTTCTAGTCGTAACGAAATTCAAACTAAAATTACGAAGTCAGATACGGTTGAAGAGCAAAAATTATGTACCTTGTAACTTGGAGCGTTTGAAGGATAACAAGATCCAACAAGAATATACTGTAAAGATGAGAGAATATATTAAGATTGAAGAAGTGAATATAGAGGGAGAATAGAACAAGATAAGTAAAGCTATTAATGAAGTTGCAAAAGCATTACTCCTTAAAGCATTATAAGCTGGAGCCCCTTAATTGAGTTTTAAAGTTCCTTGAAATTATTATTCGGTTACAATTATTCTTAATAGTGGTACAAACGGGTATCATCTGAGTTATATTAGTATGACTTGTAAAGATAGTTCAAAAAAAAAAATTGAGGACTATGTAGGTATAGTATATTTATACATTTTCAGTAATTCATATTAAATTGATGAATCTTTCTATGTAGAAATACAAGGAAACAATAATTTTACTAAATTATTAAATCTAAACCTGATTCGAGCAAACTAAAATCAGCTGTTGTATATTATATTTTATAATAAATCTACAGTATACTCGTATAATATCATAAATCAAAATAATCTAATTGTAACTTATAATAAACATAATAATAATTATTAAATAATCCTAAAAAATTAAATTAAATTTATTAGGTAATCGAATAGGAACAATAAAAAAATATGTGTATTCCTATGCTATTATATTACACGTCTTATATAGGCAAAGTAATTAAATTTAAATTGTGTAACACACATAATCATATTAATATGCTAAACATTAAAACACACAATATACATATAAATAATATAATCTAATAATAATGAGTTAAAAGATGATTACCTACTTGGCTACATACTTAAATCGTTCTACAATTAATAAGATTTAATTAAAATTTAAATAGTTTTTTCAATGGTTTTCCATTTATACCTAGATTGTAAATAAATTCTGTGTTGTTTTTTTTGGAATTGTATGCATTTTAATCCAAGATAAATTAATAATAATAATAAAAACATATTCGAATATTTTAGATTAGATAATACTATTATGATTATAATACTAATCTCGTTGAATTTTTGGAGATTCTTGACGCATCCGATTGCTTGACATAAATGTAATATTTTTAATACCTTTTAGTACATTTACATTTTTACATTTAATACTTACATGACAAACACTTTATCACAATAATCATTGTTTATAAACGAATTTTGTCTAGTACCTACATGACGTATTCGATAAATTAAAATGTATATCATATTACCTAACTACATTGTAAATTGGTAAATAATAGGTACAGAAATATTGTGGTGTAAAATATGTAAGTACTATTTTTTACATTGATCGAATTTTAAATATTATTATTAACTAGCTGTCTCGATGATGTCTATAAAAATGAAAATGAATTAATATTTAAGTGTACTCCGACTGTAATCGATTTACGTTTTGTTTCGACAAGAGTTGCAACATGAAATTTTATAATACTTGTAAGAGCACAGTCTGGCTTGGGCGACAAAATTACAATTTCTATGTTGAATGTCAACACACTTGGGATCATCTGTAAACATGGATTAAGAATATTATGAATCTAAACTTCAAGCGTGGGTACACTATCATTTCAATTTCAGATATAGAAAAAACAATATTTAACCTTGATCCGACGGTGGTTGAGTACTGGTCAATATTGGCTTGTTCTCTCTTTCGATTCGGCTCTCTTCACTTGATACTGCTGCTGAAAATGAGATTTAAAAAATAATTTAATTTCTTTTGAAAGAACTATAATAAATAATAATCTATATTCAGTAGTTAAACAGAAATAATTTTACCAATCAATTAACTACACGCATAAATGCATAATATCATTGTTGCCAATTACTAAGTACCTAGTAATATACGTTTATAGTACCTGAATAACTATTGACGCATTGACTTAAGTTACACGAACGTCTGGCAGGTGGTTTCTTCGATTCATCACATTCTAACGATGGTTTTAATACTTCATTGAGGCACTTGACATCTCGTTTCTGAACACCCAAGTCGCACGATCTCGAGCACTGAAAGTAAAATAAATTATAATAATATATTTTAAGATATCCTTCCACATCGGTAGTCCAATCAGTGTAAACGCGTCTATACCGGCAGCCACTCCGAAGTGAACCAATTAGAATCGCAGTTTTGGGTGAAACACGACATGGTCATAGCCGGCTTTTCTTTGCCGGAACACTGACTTTGAGGAACAACTTTCCATTCTCTTTGATCATAAGACATACAAACAGAAGTTCTTGTTTGATTACCCCAACCACACATTTCAGAGCACTAAAAACATTTTTTTTTTTAAATTTTTATTATTATTATACAATATGATGATATTATTTCTATGGATCACCCAATTTTTTTTCTATTATTATTATAACACAATGCATGAAATAAGTAATCTATAGGTATAAGTGAGAGGAACAATTTGTTGGATGAACGATGATGTATTTTTTTGATTATAATATAATATGTAATAATTAAAGCAAATACGTATAACACTAGGCCAACTTTCTAAACTAAAATACTGTCAATAAAAAATTACTACTTAACTCGAAGTAATCAAGAAACAAATTATTATTAACAAATACTGATTACTGGAATCAAATCATTAAATATTTTAATATTGATATCTTACTTGTGACCAAGGTCCTGTAAACCAAAGTCCACTACAATCTTTGTCGCTCAAGCAAGCTCTGCTCGCCTCTGGTTTTATTGATTGATCACATGCGTTCTCGCGATCAATTCCTAGCGAACAATAAACCTTTCTAGTTTGGGTACCTGTGCCACATGTTTCTGAACACTGAAATAAATACATAATATCACTTGCGTATTTAAGATTCATTGAACAATACATAATATCATAAGACTAACTTATTCTAAATAACATTAACATTATCTTGTTCAAGATTTATCGGCTAAAAAAATATATCTTAATCAATTATAATATATACGATGACATGTACGCAATATGTTATTTTTTATTTTATTTGAAATTTTGTTATTTTTTTTTTTTAGAAAAAGAAAATTGTTAATGCCATAAATACCGCATATGGAAAATACTTTAATATTGATGAGTAGGTATTTAAATTTTAGACAACTGGAATTAGTGCAACAAAAATTCGCGGTATTCACTTTAGGTGTTTAATGAATTATATAAATAATTTCATTATTTTCAGTGAAGTGTTTCATATAATGCTTTGAAATTCAATATTTAAATACAGGTTAGCATTTTTTAATAAATGTACCTACTACCTAATATAAACATTATTTTAATAAGCATTAAACTTATTGCCAATAGACATTTAAGACGGTTATTACTTTTTAGTTATTTTATCACTTATATAATTATGTAAACTACATAATAGTGATGTAAAATTTTAATTTTTATACCTTAAGTATAAATAGATTATTATAATATTGAAATACCTGTGACCAATCCGATAGAATCCACGAGCCAACAGCGTTGGAAAGGGCCATCGCACACGGTCCCATGTCACAAGTCGTCTGATGCGGAGGTTTATCGTTAGGCTTACATTCGGTTTCGTTGGCTGACGAACAGCTTACCGATCGTGACTTGATGCCCGTGCCACAAGTCGTGGAACACTGAAAAATGAAACCAGCTGATTAGTTCGTCGTATCCCAAATTCACGACATAATACAACCCCATGCCCTATTAGCTGCAGATGTGATATTATAATAATATTTAATATTTATATGTATTTCGCAGACCTGCATTGGTATATTTATAGTAAGTAACTTATGGGAATTTATGCCATGGATAATGAAAAGCACTATTAGAGTTTGGGTGGATTGTCAAAACACTAACTTTGGACCAAGTGCCAGCGATCCAATGCGAGGTCCCGTCAGATTGGGTGGAATCACAAGGCGGCCTTTGACAGGCTTTGGACAGGATGACGTTGGCTGGCATTGGCGATGGACAAGCCGACTCATCTACGTTCATCGTCAGCGCGGGATTGATTTGCTGCCTGCACGCCATCTCCCGGGTCTGGACCCCTAAACCGCAACCAACTGAGCAAGGGCTCCAATCGGTTATCGACCACCTGTAGGATAATAAAAGAGTGAATTATTATTATAATCTGTTATCGTAATAATACTAAAGAAGCTTTTCGTAAGTAACTCCATCTCCAAGGTTATTATTTTGTAGTATACTTACTGTGCCTCGCATGGTTTCACGTTGCATCTGAGCACCTGGGGTTGTGGTTTCTCCAACCCGTGGCACCGTTTGTCCGCGACAATTTGCTGCTGCTGGTTGTGTTCTTTAATGCACACCATCGTGGACGTCTGATATCCTGTGAAATCGGCACTGTTAGGTATAGGTAATATAGGTATTCAGAGTTCATCGCCTAAATGCGTATGGGGCAAAGATATACAATATAATCGGTGAAAAATAACCCTCATAAACACAAACAAGAAGGTATAGCCATGTAGGTAAGTCATGTTATGTACCTACGTTTGAATTAAGTTGAAATTCGTATAAATTATATGTATTATATATAGTATTTGTTGTATGTGTTATTTTTTCACTTTATTACAAAAGCATTATGTTAGGTAGGTAGTTATATAAAACAGATACTTGTACTACAAACTGATTTATATAAATACGCAAACAATTCACTGATAATAGCAACAGTGAAAACTTCCCTAACCGGCACCTGTAAATAGCAAAACCCCAAATAGCGAACGTCGTTATGGGACCAAACTACAAAAGTACAAACTTTCTATAAACCGATCTCTTTGAATAGCGGACATCTCCGATAGGGGACAAAATCTAGTGACCGAGAGTGTCTGATATTTAGAGGCTTCACTGTACCTTGAAATTATCTATATATTAATATATTAATATGCAGTATAAAATTTAATTAAAACATAAATTATGATTGTAGAAAATTTTAAAATGTGTTAAATATAAAGTGATCAACTTTTAACATATGACATCCATTTGTTTTTTCTATTTTACACTATTATTACAAAGTGGATAGTAAATAATGTGAGTCTGATATTTTTGCATTAAAGTACTCGTCACAAGAAGTGTCACAATTCAGTTTAAAATTTTAAATGTTTTAAACGTATACCTAAGTTATAGTTACGTATAACCTACTAATTAATAAACAATTATCGCCAATTAATTTTTACACATTCAAACATAACAAATTATTGTTAGGTAATAGATGTACTAACGTTTTAAAGGATATAATATTCGAAACACAATATAATATAGAAATTGCAGTTCGTATTTACGAAAGTTTACATAAATTGAATACTAAAAAATATTAAATTTACGTAAAAATAAAACTGATCCTTATAATATTTTATAAAACTTAACATCAATAATACTAGCACTATATCTTCATCAGTTTAAGTCACTGAAACCTAAAAAACATTTTTGAGAAAATTTGTGTTATAAATACAAATTTAATAGATATTCTTAAATAAAAATTATTTTGCATGGTAAAATTTTGTCTTCAATAACATAATATCTTACTTTTTACATTAATATTTAGTATTAATAAAAGCTATAGAAATAATAGTAGGTATAAACATGAGTCTCAGATACATTTTATATTATAATAATATTCTACCTAAATTTAAAGAGTTAAATACGACTACGATATTATATTACAGTGTATTTTAGACATTTTATACACAAACGTGTTTTTTCACACTAGAAATAAAAGGGTATTCTTTACAATAAGACATAATTAATACGAGTAGGTAGATAGATACCAGCTATAATTAAATTATACGATAAATATTACCTCCACCACAAGTCTTGGTACATTCTGAATAGCCGTTCAATTTCCATAAAAACTTTTTTTTCCTGCCCTTGTTACGCGGTTTTGCAGCTTCGTCGCCGATGAATCCTTGATACTCCGTCGGTGTTCCGTGCGGTTGGTCCTGGTTGAATTTCCTGTAAAATATTCCTATCTATACTCACACCGGTCGTAACATCGCGTAGCAGATTGTTTCGAAATAACCCTAACACAATACAATAAAATACATAATAATATATTATGTTATGAACTTACGTTTTGTCTTCGTTGTCGAGTTCCAACCCTTTATCCGTCGCGTACGCTTCGTCGCCAACCGGCAAATAGTTTCCTAAAACGAGACCCGACGACGTAAAAAATTAATTAAATACACGAGGATAGATAAGGTCATAATGTTAAACTAAAGCAAGAACTAGTCGTAGTGTTCAAAGTTAATAATTCTGCTGCCCCGTAGGGGGTCATACATATTATTGTTGTCATTTTACAAAATAGATTCGATTACAATAATACGCATGTAAAAAGTACAAATATTTTTTATGTGATTGCTTAATGTTATACTATTTTAGGTTTTAAATAATTAGTAGGTGTCCTATATGGTGTAGGGGTAATAACCGCATTTTCAGACCCTTAATATTTTTTGTCGAACAAACATAAAGAAAGTTGACACGACCCTGCAGTATAATTATTGTTATCTATCTCAACGTGCAGTATATTGTTCAATACAGGGCGTTTCAAAATAATTCAGCTGACTTAAATAAATTGACTACTAAAATTGGATAAATCGTTTTGAAACATTCTGCATTTTAAATGAAATAACAAAAACACGCCAACCTGGATAATATGCAGACATGTGCGAATGGTGTCTGATCAACGGTGGCGTGATGGACTCGTCCTGAGCAGGGGCATCCAGTGGCAGTTTGTATTCGTACTTGATGCCGGGATTCGTGTACCTGAACACCAACTGCAAACGGGACAAGTCGCAAATCGCGCGACGATGACGGCGTTAAAATAATAATATAAACGTGTGAATAATGAAAGACTGTATAATATTATGTTGTAATTACAATAAGGTCTACAGACTCTGATAGCGGTCCCGTGGCAAAAATGGATTCACCAAAATTACCGTTTTCTTTCCGATACGTGAATACCGTACCCGCTCCTTCGTAGTCTCCTGGCCAACTATTCGTCCAATTGCCATTCAAAATGTATGGACCGACAGTATGCTTCAACGCTGCAAGTAAATCGGTAAGATGTCAATTATTGAGTATGTATTCGAGAGAACTACAATACTATGGTATGTAATGCCAAAGTTATTTGTATTACAGAAGTCAGTATTCGTATAATGAAATGTGCTATAATAATAAACTTTAAACTAAACATAAAACCAAATTTAACAATAATAATATACTATTGCATACGATATATCGCAAAATATAACGTTATTGAGTAATGATCACTGCTGTAATTATGTACTTGTTTTTCATTTGTCAATACTAATAATTATAATCAATGGTTTTAGTTATTAAAATGTATTATAATTTATAATAAGTAATGACCAACATTTGTAACAATGGGTAGAAATTATAAAACATTTCTATCTTTATTATGTATGCATAGGCATATATTAGGTACCTATGTTATTAGCTGATGGTTTAAGTTCGTTGATGGTAATGTTGCAAGCAGATTTTGGTAATCTGGTAATTAAATTGTATCCTGTCGGCATGTCGGGTCTAGTGAAAATACCAGAAATTAAACGACACGTGCTATTGTCACCACCGCATACACCACAACCATCAAACCTCTTTAGAGGTCCACCTATTGAACCATCACAACTGACCACCTAAAAATCAAAAATCCATCAGTTAAATAATAATCGTAAAAATTACCTTTATCACTTGTGTTATATTACAGAAAACAAGTTAAAACATTAGTTTTAAATATTTATGTAATTTGGAGGGAGGGCATATGGCACACTCATTTTTATATAACTTACATACATACTACATCTACATGTTGCACAGCTTATGCATTTTTATTGTTGTTATGTATATAAGTACTGATATAAAAACACGTTAAATTGTAAAAAGTGAATATTAGACATGGATATTCTATAAAATTACATGACATGATGTATAATTTGTCTTGTTTGAAAGTAGTACCTACTCATATTATTACTCGACGAGGTCATGACTCATGACTCATGAGAGTAAATACTAAATACTTAACAATATTGCAATATTATATTATTTTATTGTATTATACGTAATCCAATAGTGAACTAAAGTAACTAGTAATTTATTCTTTCCAAAAACATCAATCTAAAATGTATTAAAAATTAAAAACGCCAATAAATTATTTGGAAACGCGAGATCGTCATAAGTATATTTAATATAGTATAATAATATCACATCGACAGTGATCAAACAATGTTCCGAGATGAATAGACGGTGCACACTGCACACGTACACTCAGTCATAAATAACAACATTAATATAATATTAGAAAACGATATTAGCCATTAGGTATACGCACAAACGCCGTCGAATCGATAAATCCTGAAAAATTACAATAATATATCGTGGTGTTGTATTTTACTTGTGAATTATAATAATATCTCATGCACGTCCAAGACGTATACTGTCGATACCGGACGCCGGACGGTCACTCTCGGTAGTAGGTATATATCTACCTACCAAAGTACCAACCTACCTGCTTACTTACCTGGGTATATATTATTATACCTAATACGCGCGCGCATCACGATGGCGGGCGTCGCGGATGCGATTTAGACGTCAATGATGAAAAATCAATTATCTCAAACACTCGAGAGGGGTGTAAGATAATAATAATAAAAATAATATGTGCTGTGCAGAGATGAGATTCCAATCAACTACCGTTGCAGTCCCAACAGTTTAATATTATACGACGGCGGCGCTTAGACAACATAAATCACCGGGGGAGCCACGTTCGCGTGTCCGTGTACGATAAACATCATCCGTGCACACATCGTATTATTCATATTATTATTATATTGTGTACAATAAATATCATATCATATTATTATTATTTTATTATTTCTTTTACCCGTGCACGGATTCCATGTAATAATATGTGATCGATAATCCGCCGAGTATCGAAATGCTTCTCACCGGGACTCCGACCGCGAGTCGATCCGGTATACACTTATATCCACGGGTACGATATCATATTATTATTATTATTCATCACGATCACGGTATATGGTAGATACTTATAAATACATAATGTATAGGTACAGCTTGCCAGCTTCAAGTTGATAAATATTACATAATTAATATTTCCAGTTATCGTTGACGCTTGACAACTTACTGCTCAATTAAATATTAAAATAATAAAAATAATATTGTTGTTGTGGGATTTCACAATGCCGTTGGACTTTGCAGGTAATACGATATTACGATAATTTGATGTAAAATAATATAATAATAACAATGTAGGTGCACATATAATTCTCGCACGATTTGTTACCTTTTCAGTATAACATTACATAGTTAAAAAAACATACTAATGTCAATACTTTGTTATTTAACATGGTATTAAATATTATACGACGTGTCTCTCGAAATTAATTAATTTCTACGTTTATAACTCATTAGTCATTATAAAAATATATAATTTATACATCACGAAAACAAATCAAAACTCTCCTCCATCGTGATTTACGCACAAGGTTTTAATTATCGAGTACAATTTAAAACGTATAATGTATATAAAAACAACGGTATTTTAACAAATTATTTATAAAAGAGTAAAAAAGTAAAAAAGTAAAAAGTTTATTATTTGGACATTTCACTGAGAAAGTATAAAACGTAAAAAAATAATTAATGAACCATCTGCATTAATTTCAGTATAGTTAAAATAATTGTTTATAAATGAAAAATTAAACATATTTTAAATAAAAATATTTCAATACATATACATGAAAGTATAAACGACCAATAGATTTTCTCAAATCCGACAGTTTAATCTGTTTAATGACCTCCATGTTTATGTAATCAAATAAAACTGCTTTGAGTACAAATTTTAAATTAAACCGACAATACCTTGTAATTATGTTTGGATTACTGTTTAATAAGAAGGTAAAAACGAGCGCACACAAAGTGTAATGTTTTTGCCTAGAGGCTGCCTGACAATATTAAAAATCTGGTATAATATGTGTATAGAATATAGATAATAGACGTCCATTGAGAAATTTAATTTAAAAATAAATTATTCGAAAATCAATATTCAGTACTTTTGTACAATATAAAACCACCGTCACTTTATATATATCTATAAATAAAAAAAATTAAATCTAAAAAAAAGCTGTGTGTAAACAACTTTACATTTTGAACGTTAACTAGTAACGAGCACAAATTAAATGCCAAATATGGCATTCGATCAGTAATATTTCAATATATTTACAAACGAATTTAAGATTTTTTATTAATTCACAAGATATACTTAACATAATTAATTGAAAAATAAAAATTACAATTATTGCAAATTACATCTTGCGAAAAAAATGTGTTAACTAATAACTGATAATCTTAGCTTTATATAACTTATTGAGATTTAAGATTTAAAAAAAATTACCGATAGGCAATAATCGAGAAATGAATTAGATAATTTTCGTTTAAATATACGCCATTATATCGTATAAATATAGTGACATGATTTGTAGTTCAAAGTCATGTTATTTTAAAAAATGTCGCCAATACCAAAGATTGAATTACAACATTTTAAGCGATATGTCAATATAAAAATTAAAAATATAATATTATTTATTATTATTATATTGTCCCACCCATTCCTCGGTGATGATTTCGATTTCGGCCACGTAAACTTCTTATTATTCGTTTACTGAGACGGTCCCAAGTGCAGTGTACTTATATTTTAATTTTAAAAACAAACTATAAAGTATCGCGCAGGCACGCACATTCGTGATTCGTCCGACTTCAACGACGCTTTTAAAACTTTAACGACACATTAGCGCAGTCTTGTGTGTTATTATTAGATCGACATAACACGCGGTTTTTTCAGCTCTTGATAAAGTGCGTATGGGCATCATATTATATTATATTATGAAATTATATATATATACTTGTCGGAAATGAGTAGGGTAAGTAAGAAAAATAAATAATATTACTAACGGTGATAAATCGACGTCGTAACGAGCCAGCAAGATTTACGAACGGGCGCCGTGTTTCCACTGTACTACTCACCAGTAGCCCATATCCATAATATCCTTAAATTCTGTCCCATTCAGACTTACGAGTCATACGTGTCATATTATCGTACTTGGCTGTAGGTAGGTAGGTATTATAGATAGGCTGCATCCGACTTATATAGTATTCAAATACTAATAGAACTACATTTTGTACGAATAGGGTCCGGCAGTATAAAATAATGTGTTCGAATTAATGTTATATTACACGATAGGTACGGAAAATCCCCTCGACAAAGACCGCTCAAAGCCGATCATTTCAGATAAAAACGTCGACATATATCCAAAATATTACAAACAAAAGAAGCTATAATATAGTTTATACTCTGATACTCAAAAACTGAAGAATAATATATTATCAATATTATAATATAGTCACCGTAAAGCATATTATACTACACATTTATACGATTTTCTGGCCTAGGGTTTGCTGGCGTTCGCTATAGTGATGCGGTTACGATATAAGAATACTAAAATATAATGTAAGACGTATCGTCGTTTTGTCCATGGCAACCCCGTATTGTGCATAATTACATGTTGCACGGCTGATCTGGATGTAGATCGCGCGTTATTTATTCAACAACTATTTTGATCAAAAGTCTGAAAAGCTCCCGTGATATGCAGACTACACGATTAGTGTAATTAACTTGTATAGACTTCAATAGTGATTACTATATTAGTAATTTCTATCCTGCAATAAAATGGACTCAGCAAGTCACATCTTATTGACCATTTATACTCAAGAGTTGATCGACCTAGTTCGTAATAGATTAATATCATACTGTTACATTGAGTACCTACTCCATAAGTACCGTCCAAATTTTTGAGATTTATCATTAATCATTACTATAAATTAGATTTATTGTTTCGATTGTTATTTTTAAAAATTGCATAATTTATGCGCCGACAGTAAAACGTTGCTAAAATCCAATCGGACACTCATTACTGAGTACTGACGTCTCAATGGACCGCGGTGTCAAGGTTACGCAATTTTCTCTCTCTCGATCTCTCTCGAGCACGATCGTAATAATAATATAAATAATAATGATATATTCGACTTACGAAAATAAATCCGCCCCCGAACCACACGGTCGCTGGGCACCATACCAGACACGATCGGATTTGATATTGTGGTGGAGGTGGTGAAGGATTTGGAAGCGCCGAACGACTGCCAACGATCATAATTAATTCGGTGGCCGGCTATAGCGGTCAACGAGCCCGGTTTCACTCGCGAAGAATTTACCGGATTTTTTCTCATTCATGTATTATATTATATTATATTTACAGAAAGAAAATTTCCCCAGGCTCACCTAAAAACGTTAATTAGGAATTTTTTCTAAATTCTATTTTACATATAAGTATTACATTCATTTTTTCTTGGATTATATTGTATTTCTTGGTAAATTGATCACCAATACGAAACACTGTAAATATTTTTAAGTAAGTTTCATACAAAAAATATATTGACTCGAAAAGTCAACTTATAAAAAACTGTGAAATATTAGTTTTAAACGAAATTGATACATATATGAATTATAAGTTTATACAGAAAAATATTAATATAAGCCATAATGTAATGAAAATGGTAATTGTAA